TCTTCACATCAGAGTCCCTCTCTTTCACATAAGGAGCCCCCTTTACATAGGCATGATTCTGTGTGAAAATTCCAATGCACCTCTAACAAAGCCAGAAGGCACCATGGTTGAGAAAGGCTGATCCATATATCTGATGAAGCTGTGTGTTATTATTTTATTTTTTTACAAACCTGGTATAAAATTCCTTGATAACCTCTTCCATATTGGACTGAAGGGCAGATTGAGTTTCAGAACATTTTGACTTTTCATCGCCTTCCATAAGTTTCTCCACTGCATGTGATGTGGACTCTAACCGCCTCCAGCTTTTGTTTAGCTGTGCCTGTAAATCCTAAAATTGAAATTGAAATGTCTAAATATATTATTTTTCCTTCATTTTTAGAGATTGGTAAAGCTTTAATAACCATTGATGGAGACAATGAGAAGGACGAGAGTCAATTAAAGATGGAGCGTTCAACATCTTATGTACACCATATTACCAGTCAAAGAATAGCACACACACATCTGACACAGTACAAAAGGGGTCTCCAGCAGACTTTCAAGCTAGCCAGAAAAAATAGCTATTCTGTTTCAACTACTCAAGTTAAAAACAGGTTGCGCGTTCAGTTGCGTGTATTTGCAAATACATGTAGAAGCCATGCTGATGCGTCAAGGCACCTCTGATACATGTGGTCCCTAACTCTATACTATCTGAGCTTCCCCACCTGTGGGATGTATAAAGCAATGCACAGAAAGTAGGCTCACCTAGAGGGAGCTGTCACGATCTGGGAACCGGAAGCACTGGCGTACGTAGGCATGGGGTTTTGTGGAGCGGTCTGAAACAGGAATCAGGCCTGGGACACAGGTCTCGGAGAGTGACTGGGCGCAGGATAAGCTAAACAAAAGGAGCCAGGGATAGGGTATATGCACAAGAAATGTGGGTGTGCCAGAGGCACAGGATCCAAGGAGTGCCAGGTCTTCGCCTGAGCACCTGATGGTAAGGATATCACGCTGCAGGACAACTCCCAGGTTGCGGCCCTCTAAAACTCCTGTGCAGACACTAGCATCTAACAGTAAAGGACAGCACTGGGGTACAGGACTCCATACTGAGCAGGATAAGAAACCATAACCAAAAGGTGCTGGAAGGTACAAGGCCACCAGAGAAGACAGTAGCCTCAAAGAGGCATCCACATAGAGCACAGGGTGCACTAGAGTGCTAGGACTGAGTACACACAAAATACTAGGTACAGCGCAAGTGTAAGGCTATGCAGGCAGACACACAAAGGCAATGAGAACCAAAGGAGACAAATAAACTAACGAATAAATGCAGACAAAATGTGTATTGCAGAAGTACAAGACACACAAGAAGATGAACACGGAAATTAGTACTCAGATGGTCGGCGTACAGATAAACCACACACAAGGAACTAGCATATAAAAAAACACTGATCAGGGAGGCAGATACACACAAGAACTGTGTATTACACAGAAGTAGAGCTATATGAGAAGTACATATGGAGGACTCACGGAAAGTGAAGATAAGTATACAGGCAGAAACAAACACAGAAAGCAATGTCTACAAGAGGTGTATCACACAGGAACAGTGTGACGTACCAAGGCAGAAGGCACAGGGCAAAACAGGGAAAAGGTACCACAGGTTAATGCATAAGCAGGTACTAGGATAGCAAGGAACTACTACAGTGAAGAGCAGGCTGACTCGGAGAGAGCAGGGCAGATAGGAAAAGCAGACACAGTAAAGAGAAGGCACACAAAAGCAATCCAGTGGATCCAGGCAAGTAGGGCCACTCACACCACCCAGGTGAATGCACAGCGACTTCCACAGGGAAACACAAGGGACTGAGAGCAAATAAGAACGCTAAGAGTAGCCAAGGAAAAATACAGCCAAGCTGGGAATCTGCAGAGGTAAACTAGAAAATCAGGGGAACAAGGTAACATGGAAAAGTTCCAGAAAGGCAAGGGTAGATCACAAGCAACGCAGGAGGGCCCGGCAGCAGAAAACTGACTTGTTGCTCGAACACTGACCAACAGGTGAGAAGAGCCTAAATACGTAAATAAGAGAGAAGATTGGCTGCAGCCCTGTAATTTCCCATAGGCTGACAGCCAAGCACTTAGGACAGAGGGGAAAATCTGACATGGAAACTGGACAAAAGGAAAAATCCAGCACAGATACCAGGACAGTGCGACAGCAGCCCTTTGCTCTTTAAAATTAAAGCAACACCCCATAAGCCTAGACATAGTCTGCTCTCTGTTTTTGCTATGTATGTCCCAAAGTTGGGAAACTGGGATAGTATAGAGTTAGGGACCATATTTATTAGAGGTGCCTTGAATTGACAATGTGGCTTTCACCTGTATTTGCAAATGTGTGCAACATATTTTTAACCTATAATAATAATATAATAATAATAATAATAATATAATAAGCCTATCCCACCTCAACCTAACCGCTCAACCATCACTTTCTCAAACAATTCATAGCCACGCTCCCTCCTCATGTATCGCTTCCCCCTCCCTTTTAGATTGTAAGCCCTCAGGGTTAGGGTCCTCCTTCCCATCTTGTCTTGAATTGTATTGTGATTGTAATGTATTCCTTATATTGTAAAGCGCTGCACAAACTGTTGGTGCTATATAAATCTAGTATAATAATAATAATAACCTGAGTAGTTGAAGCAGCTTAGTTGGGGTTATTTTGCTGGATAGCTTGTGACCCTCTCTGTACTATAATTTTGCCCGTTTCGGACAGGTCAGAGCGACTTTTTGGATGTGGTTCATCCATAACATCACATAGCATTAAATTCGCTTCTCCTGCTCTCAGCATGTCTTAGATTGCTATAGATCTATCCCCTATATTTCCTAATTAAGTGATAAATATGATGGAAACAATCATCTGCAGTTTCCATGTTTTTTTGTTTATGCAGCCAATTTGATTTTTACTGCTTCATAAATTTTAAATTCCGACTACTCCTATTCTACAAAATGGTGCCTGTAAATAAAGAGAAACTTAATTGTAAATGGTTGTGCACACTCAGGAGCAGAGAGACCGTTTGAGAGTTCAGGCAGCTGACAATGTAGCAATAGGCAGGAGTGGGATTTCAGTTGACCTGAAGCTAAAGAGCAGGACTCAATAAAACTGAATAAACTGACTGAACTACATATTTCATAAATAAGACAGTACAATCATGCACATTTAAGATGGAATCCTACAAAGATAGGTCACATCAATTTGCCTTAATGAGTTTTTATCTATTGGTAAATACACACACATAACCTATATGGCAAATATATGAAGAAAAGGCAATGCCCCAACTGCAAATACAAAAAACGGAATTTTATGATTCTAGTAATAAAAATGTGTCTGGAGTCAAGAGAAGAAACACAGCAACCTCTACCTGCAGTTCTTGACACCTGCTTTGGAGTTCATTAACATCCTGAACCTCTCGTGGACTCTCAGCACTGAGTTTCTCTCTTGATCTTTGCAATAAGAGTTCCAGGTCCCTTTTCTGTGCTTCATATCTGATAAAATAATGGACAGAACTTTAGAGTTTCATATGTGGGAAACATGTACAGGCTTATTGAATAAACAATACAAGAAGCAAATGGATACCGGCACACTAAACTTTGTACTGTTTTGCTAAATAGACTGAGACAGTAAACTTATATTCTAAAGCTAGCCACAGAAACTGGATACCATCCCAAATGGACTGGGTAACAATGGAAGAACTCAACAGCCTTAAAACCTTCAGTCTATACCCATTCAAGCAGTACCTTACAGTAGACGGGTAAATTTCATGGAGATTGCATAGATTATGACATGTGTGGCTAGCTTAGGAAAGACATTTCATCCAGTGATCAATAAACCTTTGACTTGTATGGCATATTTCTTGAGATCATTATCTTATATCTGTTGGTAGCCTTAGGCCCTGTGACCTCCTTCAGACCTGTTTCATGTTGGTTTTGCATTCCCATAGACTTGTATAGGAATGCATAATCTGTTTAAAATGAACAAAAGCCTATCAACACAGGCAGAATCAGTTGGGGAGATTTGAGAAAAACTAACTTTTTTATATATTCAATAAACATTAACTGTATTGCAGAATTTTAGGTACAAAATAATTAATCTGTAGACATCAATTTAACGGTTTAAAAACAATCAAAGACCAAACTATTGTAAAAAACAACCAATGACCCCAAAACTATGCCAACCACACACAAAACTTTGAAAAAGAAAATTTGCTCAACATTCTTTGACCTTCAGAAGCATATTCTTCAAAAGTTTCTAAAAAATGTCCCGTCTAATGGCCCAATACCCTATGGGCAGCCTTATGTTTGTCATACAGAGTGGAGTTCTGTAGTTTGAGGATCAATCTGATTTTGAATGGACTGATTTTATATACTGTATCCTCAAACTACATTTTTGATGCTGAATTTAGTTGTTTGCGGTTTGATCCATAAGAGCAAACAAGTTACTAAGGATAAGTCACAAGCATTTATGTATTCTGGTTCCCTGTACACATTTTAGCACTTGAATGTCTACATTGTACAACTCCACATCCATGAGCTTACATCTGTAGCTCCCCATCTAGATTGGAGCCTTTCATCTCAGTGTCTTCTGGAATACTGCCTCCATTCTGGTGCACAACCTTAGAAATCTGGAAAAAATAAACAGGTGATAGATGTTACAAAATATGGCTTGCTGGTAGATAAACGTTCTTTCTTCCTATGAAGAAACAGCTTGCCTTTTCCTATACATCATACGCACAAGCAGCTCAGGTTCTCCTCCTGCGAAATTTGGAGTAAACCCAGCAGATGCAGCATGCTTGGGACCAACTGTCCTCATAGATAGTCTATGTTTCTGTGCACATGGACACCAGGCAAAAGATGTACATTGGTGACTGAAAAACTGAGACAATGCTCAAAGATATCTTGACATAGGCAGATGAATTTATACATTGAAGCAAAGAACAAGGATCAGAATAAAGAAGAATAAACAAGAACCAACTGGATTTAATCAATACAGGACCAAAAACCAGCTACTGCAAACCACAACCAAACTGCTTTCATTCATTAGAAAGAAGATACAGTCTTTGAACCTCTGGGAGTATTGAGCTTCTGAATTGGCTTCTGGAAGGTGCTGAGGACTTGATGATTCAACAAGAGGGAGAGGCAAGCTAACAGGTTCCAGAAGTACAAACGATTTGGATGTTATATTAGCCACTTGAAGGATTCAGTGGACTGACTCGGGGAGAATGGAGGTAGGGTTGCATAGGAATTGACACCATCTTGGTGTTACCTACCAATTTGGTAAGATCAACAGGAGGCGAATGTCTGTTTTAAACTGCCTGCAGAAAAGAGCACGCAAAATGCAATATCCAAACTCTAAAGATGAATCGTCATAAGGACCTAAGCTAGGGGTCTTGGACATGGAGACCTCTACGTTTGAGGGCAGTACCAGTTCACACTCAACTGGGATTGTGCATGAGTCAACACAGCATGTAAATAACAAATGTACTTAACATCTACGCAATTGTTATATGCACTCGGATCTAGAGCAAGTTCGAGCTCTAAATAATAAATTAAAAAAAGATTAATATTAGTAAAGATTAATCGTCTGGGTGCCAGAGATGAGTAGGCTATAAGCATCCGGTTTACAACTATTGCTAAACTAAAGATGTGGGGCTGAGTTATTAAAATTGGAGCAAAAATTAGTTCTGGGTTAACTATAGCTATGATTAAAGTGTATTTCCACTTTTGCAGCCAGACTAGCATAACACCTAATTTATATTTGTTACACGTTTCTGATTCACATACCATAACAACCAAAAACATTTTTTAAGTGATTTTACTTGCTTAAAATCCTACCTAGCTCCACCCCATGCAAAATTAGGAAGGGGATTGTACAAGGTTATGTTTACTCTAATTAACCCTCCCCGTTCTGTCCTGGTAGATTTCATTAAAGGAGAATTATGGGGAGAGTGAAATGCACGCATCCCTATAGTAAGAGCTACCGTGTAACACTGCCGTTGTCACATACTAGCTCTATAGATCAAGAACTAAGTGATCACTTAGCACTGATTACTCAGCTCACAATCTACACCCTGCAGAGAGCGGTAACTACCAGTCATTGCTCCCCACAGGGATTCCCCCCTCCCCTTTCTCTGTTCCTCCATTGCTCATTGAAGGTACAGTCAGGGGAGGGGGCGGGCATAGCTGGCTCTGGCTCTAGAGAGGAAGAGCCAGCTATCAATTAGGGAGTGGGATGGATGCCGACAATATTGTTGGAATCCTTCCCGGCTGCAGCACGGCTCTGCACTGTCAGCATAGAGCGGCAGCACTCCGATATTTACTGAGTTTTGGGTCACAGGTGAACACACAGGAAGCTATTAGTAAATGTCTTCCTGTGACCCAAAAGAGAAGTAAAGCAAAAAAATATTTGGCCATAGTTCTCTTTTAACAGTTGTAAACTAGATTTCAACACTGCCTGTCCTAACAAAAGGGTAAAGACTTACAGGCATTGTATGTTAATAGGAGCAAGCTCAGTCTGTCCCTCTATTTTCGCTTTTAAACTGGTCAGAGTAGCCTGGAATGTGCACAAAGGCCTTTACCAAAAAAAAAAAATCTAAAAAAAGGTAATTATTCTTTAAAAAAATTATTTTTAGGTATGCTGCATGAATGGGAACACATAGCAAACACATAGTGGGGTTTCCACAAAATTGACTGCAAAAATGGAAATACCCTTTAAGGCCACTTAATGGCTGACATGCACTAGCAGACTGTCACTGTTTTGCTAATGCTTTATAAATTACTGGAACTTAGTGCTGTGGATAGGATTATTTAGTACATGCCTGGATGTAGGGGCAGATGGGGGCCCATCCCTGTACCAGTGTTTCCCTTCCGGACTGAATAGACAGACTAGGTTGGGACGGTGTACATTCTTATTCATTTCTCAGAATATGCTGGAAGACTTACTATACAAGTTAAATAGTCATACTACATTATGACAACACTGTTAGAACAATTGAACAACAGCAAAGAAGTGTAGCAAAAGAGCAGCAGGAATGAGTAATATCTTTACTTTATATCATATTTTTGCACCTAAACCTTTTAGAAAATGTCTAACTAAACTCCTAATACTACATGGTGTTTAGTGAGTTGTTCATCCGCAGCACCATATTTCTCCTCTATACACATACCTGTGTCTTCAGTTTGCAGGACTCCTCATCAAAACTTGGTTTCTGGATGAGTTTCTTTAATTCACTGATATACGTCTCCAGCTCATAACGGACAGCCTGGAAAAGGGGGAAAAGGAAATACTAAATGAAAACCAGCAGAAGCCACATGATACTGGCCAAAGGTCTGTGGCTGGACTACAATTTCCAGCATGTCATGGAAGTTCTCACCAGGGCTGCATGCGGGTCCCACCAGGGCTGTGTGGGCAGATGCCGGGCTGTACTGGTGGGTGCGGGTTTCACCAGGGCTGTACTGGCAGGTGCGGGTCTCAATAGGGATGTGCGGGGAAGGAGGAGATGTTGCCAACCGGTGCTGTATACAGGTGCCGCAAGGTCCCCATAAGGCTGCGGTGAGGTCCCCAGCAAGCACGGGACCTTACGGCAGCCAAAGCTATTTAAAAATTTAAAGCACCGTTATCGTTGCTTAGTATCAGGACGTCTGTGAAGGTTCTCATTCACGTGCATAGTATCAGGACATTTTCACGAGTACGAGTGAAAATGCCCAGTATCAGCACCCATACCAATCCTGATATCGGTGAATTGGTGCTGTGACAATATGTTGGCAATAAATCCAAACAGAAGGTGGACAACAAATGTGGCCAACACGCATTCAATTCTGACAGTACACGTAACTGGAACAATATGTGGGCAGCGAGAAGTGGACTAGTTAGGGAGAGAACACGTATATGAAATTTTCCAAACAATTGGTAACCCACTTCTAAATCGAAGACCAACCCCCACCATTTAACAGCCTTTGGCCTTTGTTGACGGATGGGGGTTGATGCCATCTTGGGTAGAAGTCTATGCCGAATCTATTAGAGATACTTGCAGGAGTGGTTTATTTGACCTGTTGTAAGCAGTACTCACTTTCCACCTGTGACGAAGATCAGCGCTGACCTCATCTACTGTCAACTTCTCCTTATCTGTCGAAATGGTTTTCATTTGATCTGCTGCGTTCAGGAATTTGTCAAGGTTTTGAATGCTAAACTTGCCCACGGTTTTCTAATTAAAAAAAAAAAAAGTAAAATAAAGGGTACTGATTATCCCAGGTAATGCTTCCATACTTCCAAATGTACAGTATACACCATTGTTATAACCTGGCTTTCTAAAAGTATCTTTTGGTCTGTGGCAACACCTTCCATTAATATTAGGGATGCACCCATACCGGATTTTCGGCACCAAGTACAAGTACCAATAGTTTGCTTTCGGTACTTGCCGATAACGAGTACCGATACCTGTGCTTCCGCTGGCATGGAGCAGGCTTCCCGGGCAATCAGGAAGCCGGGTGGTGGGTGATGACATGCCTCCCGGCTTCCTGATTGCCCGGGAACCCAGCTCCATGTTGTTTGGCCAGCTTGATTGTGATTGGCCGGGAAACCGTCTTCCCATCCAATCAGCATGGAGGCGGCTTCACGGCCAATCAGGAAGCTGGGCGGAGAGTAATGGTCCCTCTTCCGAGTTCCTGATTGGCCGAACAGCCGGCGTGATGCGGATTGGCTGGGAAGTGAGCTTCAAACAACAACAACAGAGCGTGCAGTGCGTCAGCTATCTCTTTATTGGCTTCCCGGCCAATCAGCATGGCTATTCAGACGGCTCGATGCTGTTTGGCCGGGAAACCTGCTGTCTGGTCAATCAGCATTGAGTTGGCTTTACAGCCAATCTGGATGCCGGGAGGCGGGTCATTACTCACCGTCTGTAAGAGATCAGTGCTAACTGCACATGCGCCAAGGGCGCGTCATCGCACGAACGGGAATAGTTCCGCGCTAACTGCACATACGCCAAGGGCGCGGTATCATGCCAACGCACGCATGTGCAGACAACTCGATTCAGCAAAGTGGGAACACGCCAAGGAGGCGCACAGGAAGTGACCTAACTTAATCATTACTTCCCCTATATAAACCCAGCATGGACACTGCCAAATTGCTGGATTATCTTCAGTCTCTCCTTGTTCCTGTGCTTTTGTGATATCCTGTTGGACTTGTGACCTGGAATCATCTTGACTACTCTTGACTGCTGCCTGCCCTTGACCCCGGATTCGAGTATTGACCATTCTTCTGCTTAACCCTTCTGTACTTCGTTTGCCCGATTGGAACTGACCCCGGCTCGTCTACTTGGATTTCAGCTTGCACGGTGCTCCTCACCACTGGTCTCTGTACCTCTGTGTCCACCTCTGTGTCCACCAGGTCTCTGTACCCATCCCCAGAGGCCTCAAGACCAGAGGTGCAAAGGAGGTCTCCTCACAATTACAGTCTCAACTCAGGTACGTGACAGCGCCCAGCTTCCTGATCGCACTGCCGGTCAAAAGAAATCTTCCTCTGACCGGAAGTTCCGGTACCGGGAAAGGTATCGACGCATATGGGCGAGTACGAGAACTTGCCCAAATACTCGGTATCGGCACCGATACTAGTATTGGTATCGGTGCATCCCTAATTAATACAAAATTATCAGATATTGTTGTTATAAGTTATTTTGCTTCAACTTGAAAAATATTTAATAAAAATCTAATAAATAAATAATAAATATAAGAAGGTGTTAAAAATGATAGTTTTACTTGAACATTTGTTTAAAGCAAAGATGTTTTGCTGTCTTGGTTTTATTAGAGATTTAAATTGTATCTACTGTAGTGCTAGGCAACTCTTAAAACAACATCACCAGATCCAGCAAGGTATTAATTCCAGGGTTATAAATTTCAAGTAGTAAAATACAAAAGAATACGTGACAAAGGAACACAAACCTCATACTGTGAAATGAACTCCTCTGGGGTGACTTTCTGTCCCAGCAGTGTCACCGCACTTGTTATATAGGCTTCCAGGTCTCGCTTTGACCTCTCAAAATTCATTTTAATGTCTTTTTCGGGCAATGGTTTCTCTGGAGGGTGCAGGGCAAACCCCAGCCTGGACACCAAGTCCTGAATGAGAAATGTTGAATGCATTACTTCAAGGTCCACTCGTACTACAATCTATATTTTATATTATGGCCTCACATAAAGTGTACAAAAAGTGTACAGCTGTAGTTAATCTACAAATCATCAGGCTGGACTCCCATGTCTCTGCCTCTGGGAGTCATGTTTCTGGCGGTCAGAGTCTTGCAATGCCTCAAAGGACTTTTATTTCTGCAACAGCTGGAGTGCCAAGGTTGCCTACCCCTGCCATAATGAATGTAAACCCTAACAATGAACTTGTTTGCTCCTTTTTGATCTGTTAAATCCACCCAAGCAACTGAGCATTGTTAGTGTTAAAACTGAACTCCGGGCTAGGGAAAAATTAATCCTTGAAATGGGTTTCCCACTACACTGCAAAATAATGAATACTCATTTTATCTAGGAGGATGGGAACAAGGTAAATCAATACTTAACTTATTCCTCGCTCCCGCAGGCTTCCTCCTCTTCCCAAGACTTGTGTCCCGAAGTTGCTGCTCTCTGCTACCCGACCGACTGAAGCTCTTTAACTTCATCACTAGGTATGAGCTCAAGTTGGGCCCGAACCCGGTCAAAACCTAAACTACTCTGAACAAGGAAGTGTCATGGGCACTTCCACTTAATCTGCTGCGGTACAGGCATTCCCCGCATTGCTGCAGCAAGGAGCAGGATGCTTGTGCCAACCTCATTTACCTAATATGACCACATAGCCATATTAGATAAAATGTGATTTACCAAATATAGACATGTAGTCAATGATGTCACTGCATCCTGCCCCATACAAGAATTCCACACCAGCAGCTGATTAGGCGACACAAAAGGAGCTTCCATCCCTGTTCGGGAGGAGCTTCTTCCAGGTGCAGACCATATTTGGCCCAAACCTGAGGTCATCACAAGTAATCACATACAATGCAGAACCAGTGATCCTGCAATATACGTGAAAATGCAGACCCCTTATAGGGTGAAAGGGGACCACTGCCAGGGTTTCTCTTTCTACATCCCGGTGTTCAGCTTTAAAGTGTATATAAACCTTAAAAATAATTAAAGTCTATGTAAACCCTAATAATTAACTTCTCCTATATGCTCCCTTTTGTTTGGTTAAACATATCATTGATAGCATTGAACTTCCTGTTCCCTCTGCCTCTGTTGCATTGAAATCACAAGCATTATTATTAGCCTTGCCCAGTTCTCCCTTGTGAACTACAGAACAACCCCCACCCATAAATTATGGAGAGGCAAAGAGAGGAAAGGTTTTCTGTAGTTCTATTACACTTTCTATCCTAGGATGACAATGCTGCTTCTCCATAGATTCAGAACAGCATCGGGTTTCGTCACCCTAGGACAGGAAGGATCACCAGGGGAAAAAAGCCTAAAAAAAGAGAACCAATGCAGCCACCACATGTAAGGATTGTTAAGATGCAACAGATTACATTTGTTTCTTGGGTTCAAATACAATTTAACAAGCAATCACTAATCACTTGCTCCTGTCCTGACTTCTCTATACCAGTATTGTTCAGCTCTAGTCTTCCAGAATCGCCAACAGGTCATGTTTTAAGGATTTCTTTGATGCTCTACCAGCAATTTCATTCTCAGTAACCAAAAAAATTAATCAGACTAAGGAAAGTTGTAAAGACTTGGTTTCTGAACACAAGATATTGGTGGCTTGAACCAGACAGAATTCCACGTACCTGAACTTTTTCATGTGCTTGGACGATATTCCTCTTTAGGCTATCAACACTGAAATGCTGTAAGTCCTTATGGCTGAGAATAAGATGGGCTACAGCCTGGACGGTCCTCTCCGTTTCTGCAAGTTGTTCTTGATGAGAAATTCCATTTTCATAAAAATCCTACAGAGATCAATAGAATATTATAAAATATGAAAAGGATATTCAGCTGTGTAAACATGACTCTTTCTCATTCTTTTGTCTTACTGCTATGAGATATTAGATGAAAATGGTTTCCGGTATCATCTTTCTCTATTATATCTAACTGGATGGACATAGTTCATCAACACATTATAAAATGCAGCAGAAATAGGGGTCACCGAGGACTACAGAAGGAATGACCATTGCTATACAGGGGATACAGCAGAAGTTTTCCTTTAGATTCAAATTTCCTGTATCCATCCTCGAGTTTCTGCCAGAAGTTCATGTCTTCTGGGTATCAACACAAGAAGATAAATAGAATTGCTGAAACACTTTAGTCCACCTATGCAATGATACAATACTGGCGGGATCTGGAAATAGGTTTGGGGAACTTGCTTAAAATAAAGGCAAACTATACTAATGCTGGGGAAATTAGCTTAAAGGCCAACTCCAAGCAAATCTTTTTGGTATAAACCATTTGGAGGACCCACATGTTACACCCCCTTCCCTCACTGTCACTTCACTGATCACTGTCCAGGCCATTTTCAGTTTTCAGCATTGAGATAATTTGACTGACAATTACTTTGTTTCCCTTACTGTCTTTCCGAATAAAAAAAAAGCCAAAACAGTACAAAATCCCCTAAAATGAAATTGGAAAGTAGATACGCCACGGTGATCTAATTTTTGCCATAATTTTTGGAAATGAGGAAGCATTTCATGGTAGCATGGTCAGGGCAGCTATCAGAAATTTTGGAGCCCCTTACACGTCTTTAGGCCGGGCCCTCCCCCGTGCTGCTGGACGTAGGGCTTAGTGACGCGCTGGACGCAGAGCTTAGTGACGCACTGGACACAGGACCCACCTGAGAGTGACCCTACCGAGCCCACCATAGATGCTGCACAGCCCATCTGAGACTGTCTATGGTGGGCTCTGAAGGGGTCTCAGGTGGGCTGGCCAGGCCTGCATCCCTCCCCTCCCTCCTTTCCTTCCTTCCTTCCTAGCTCCTCTTACCTGCACACATGGCCTCATCTGCCGCCGGACCGGCCAGAAGTGACGTCGCTTCCGGCCAGTCCGACATCAGATGAGCAGCGTCGCTGATGGGGCCCTAGCTTGTCTCAAAGCCGCTGGAGCGGCAATGCTGGGGCCCTGCGCTGCTAGGGCCAGGCCTCCTCCTCCTCGCCCTTCAACATCGGCCGATAGTCATGTGGGGGGCCCAGGTGGACCCCCAGGCTGCCTGGGCCCCTTACATGAGTATCGGCCGTACCCCCCTGATGGCTGCCCTGAGCATGGTAGTCAGGGATTAAAACATGGGGATACATCAAATGTACACAGAGGAGGAGAAGGTGAATGGGTTAACATGCAGGACACTTACAGTGGAAGGATGGAGATGAGGGGGTTAGCATTCAGATGTGCAGAAACAGGGAGGTGAAAGGGTTAAGATAAAGGTCAGAGCAGAGGCAGACTGTAGCAAGGGCTAAAAATGATCGCAACCTTCTTTTATTTGTTGCTGCTGCAGCTTGTTGTCATCAGGAAATAATAAAAACAGGTACGTCCTCTTTAAATAACCACTCCACCTACGGGCCCTTTTTATAGAATGACCAGTAGGTAAGTGGTTAGAATAGATCATCTGGAGGGTTTAAAAATAGAAAAGCAGCTCAAGCCAAATAGTCACTTCAATCCTGACCTGTCCCCTGCAGTACTCCTTTTTTGCCACAAGATGTCCTTAGCCTTTGCTGGGCATCAGTTACCCCATAAACCTGAACAGATACCGTAAGTGCAGGGTGTCATGGGCCCGCCCCCTGAGGGGGTAATGTCAGAGTGGTGGTAAAATGATGCCGAAAGAGATGCTTGCTAACATCATTCAGAGAAGATCAGGAGGAAGAAGGGAAGCCAAAGCATCACATGACATCAGAAAAGGGTAAATATAAAATAAAAATATATATGATTTACCTGAATGTTACCAATCACAGACTCCTCTAGAGGCTCTTGTGGGTGAGCGATGGTCAGGACCTGTTCGGCACCTTCCGCCCAGACATTTACCGACTCTGTCAATTTCTCCAACTTTTCCAGAAGGCTGAGAACATCTATGCAGGATTGTACTGGCTCAACTGTTTTGGTACCTGTCTGTAATGAGGAGACATAATTTCACTACTGTTATCTGTAATATATTCCTCCCACACTCCAAAGACATGCTGGAAGGTTAATTGGCTCCTGTCTAAATTGGCCCCGTATGTATGCGAGATCGGGACCTTGATTGCAAGCTCCTCTAGGACAGGGACTGATGTTAATGTGCTATATGTGAAGCCCTGCGCAAATTGTTGGTGCTATAAAAATACCAATTAGAAATAAATAAATGAAAACCTTTCAGTAGAGGAGGATAATAAGCACTTGCATGTTTTGGCACTTACAACAACAAAAAAATACCCATGTCGTGACCTGTTTCACTTTAGTATGAATCTGACCACTTCTTGAAAGTGTCAATGTCTGTCTGTGTCGGTCCCTGCTGCTGCTATATAGACATCAGGAGCCTGCGCAACTACCTGGTAGCAAACGTTAGGATTCCAGGCAAGAAGAAAGATTTATTATCTGTGCATCCAAAAAGTAATTAAATAGAAGTGCCAGTTGGAGTCCTTCAAAAATGTGTGGGTGTCCCCTGGTTTCCTCCCACACTCCAAAGAAATCTACTGTTAGGTTAATTGTCTGGTGTCCAGTTTCGCCCATGTACTGTATGTCTTTGAGGGCAGGGACGGATGTGAATGTACAGTACGCAAAGCGCTGCAGAAATTGAATGCGCTATATCAATGCCTGTCATAAATAATAAATATGCAACTGTATGCAAATATAGACTTTTCTTCTAAAAGTCAGTCAAAGCTTTCCCGCCCTTGTGCCTCTGTGTTGGACCTTTCTTGTGATGACCAATACAAAAGTAAGAGTGTGGAAGAGAATGGGACAACTTAAGAGGAAAAGTCAAGATCTGCATATATTAATAGGAAGATTTTACGACTGGAGCACCAAAGACATAATAGCAAAGTGAGTCATTTATAACTAAAATATGTGAAAAACTTCCAACACTATGTCAGCTGTAGAAAAACTTGGGGCACAACTTTTATTAACCCTTGCAGTAGGGCTACCCCCGGGTGCAGGGGTTAAGTGCTTGTTGCGACCTAGGAGGGAAACTAAAAACGTTATACTTACACGATCCTCTGAGCTGGCTTGCTCTTAGACCGGTCCTTTCAGCCTCTCTCTCCCCCTGCTGCAGCAGTCTAGGGATCCCCAAGTCATCATGTACTATACACTGTGTATAGGACATGAGAACGCAGAGGGACAGCAGAGGAGGAGACAGGCTGGAGGGAGCGCTGTCACAACTGACCAGCTACAAAGATCGGGTGAGTATAACTTTTTTTATCTTCCTCCCGAGACACAAACAAGCACTTAACCCTAGCCCCACTGCAAGGGTTAATAAAAGTTCTGGCCAGAGTTTTGCTTTAAGTGGAACTTTATCTGAAAAACGTTTTTATATATCGGACCTGCAGCGTCTGGATATAAGATCTCAGAGTTGTAGCTGAAACCTCCGTTTGTCTGGCAGAAGCTCCTTTGCGTGTGTCTACAGACAGTTTCTCTTGGACTTCACTGCCATTCCCAACTTTTCTCTGTCTCTCATACAGCTTCAACTACAAAAACATGAGAAAAACAAACATATGTACAATGGACACAATGACAATCAGGTCAAAATCAAGAATTCACGTCCTTCAGACGTGATAACAGAATCAAAAACATAATCACTTAGCATCTTCTCCAATAGGAATTAAATGCTGCATGGCTCAAGAAATGAAATTTCCCACATACCGCCACTTCCATCGCCACTGCACCAACACCGCCTCCGCAGCTACGCATGCCTCAGCACTTACTGCTACTGTTCCAAATCAATATTTCTGTAAGTTTTTGCCACTGCGGTGAAGCTGCCTTTCCATATATTGACTAAGTATGGGTCTATTTATAAATGCTTTTACCCACGATTCACACATTTGTATTTTAATTCAAATATATATCGGGGTCTATTAAGGATTGCTGAGTCTGTTAATCAATGTTTTCAACCAAGATTCACACATTTCCTGGCTAATCAGCATCCAGCCGGGCAAACAACATGGATCTGGCTTCCCGGCCAATCAGGAAGCTGGCGGCGAGTCATCACCCGCTGATCGGCTTCCAGATTGGGAGGGAAGCCGGCTCCATGTTCCCCTCTCGACACTGCCGGTCAAAGGAACCTCCCTCTTCTGGTTCCTGGGGGTAAGTATCTGAGCATTTGGCCGAGTACTCGTACAAATACTCGGTATCGGCAGGGATACTGACACTATTATCGGTATCGGTGCATCCCTACCAAATAGGATTTAAAGCTACTTTGTGAGGTGGCAGATACAACTGGCTATGCCTCTAGATAGGCAGAGCCCACTGTCAATCAGCCAACTGGGTGGATCTGCACAGTATTGTCGGGATCCCTCCTGGCTGCAGTGCTCTCAGTATATAGCGGGCAATAGCTCGCTATATACCAAGCTTTGGGTCACGGGAGGAGGTTAGCATATGTCCTCCCATGACTATTAAGAGAACTATCGGATAAAAAGATTACCCCATAGTTCTCTTTTAAGGGACTTTAAACCACAACTCCTATGCAGGTTTACTTTGATGGAACCAGCCACTGCACACACTATTGGATATTGGGTAGTGAATTAGAGAAGAGGCAGGGCTGCATTCCTACAACTACTATGTGGTATTCGAATCAAGACTGCTTCCATCAGAGCTTAACTAGACAGATTTTAGGCTTCACAATAAAGCGTATTGTGCAGAAAGCAGCAACCCCTAACACTTAATCAGCTTTATTTCTCTAACAGATCTAAATGGCTGCATGGTGAAATGTTATTGGTTTGAAATCGCTTTTGTACTTTGCACGTCATCATAAACACATTCAATCTGTACAGACTGCACAAACTATTCAGTAACATCACTACATAATATAAACTGATATAATAATGATTTTTCTACATACATATTTGTCCCATCGGTTGGTCAAAGACTTCAGTCTGTGGGACAACTTGGAAGCCGCTTTCTCATTGGTCCTCTCGATCAGGAAGTCGCCTTCTCGGTTTAACGACCTGTGCACAGATTTCCATTTGGACAGAATCTCCATGGGGACCTGGATTTGTTTAACAAAATATTACTCATGTCTAGGAAAACAGCAGTCAGGATGCTGCAATGTTTAAACAACAGATACTGCTGTCAATGTGTGGAATTTCTGCCTCCTTATCTGCTCCTTACATTACTGCTAAACTATTTCAACGCCGAAACAAAAAAAAACTCTGAACATTTTGCTGTGCAGCACAACATAATGCAATCTCATCTAAATTAACTAGCTTCATTAAAGCGTATCTCTAGCCAGTTAGGTTTAACCACTCCACCTCGGTGCAATTTTGTCATTTTTCACACACATGTAGATCTGAATTTATTGACTAGAAAACTGCTAAACCCAAATAATTATATGTTTTCTAAAAGAAGAGACCTTGTACAAAAAAAAAATGCTACCTGCAATTTTTTATGAAATTTACCCAAATGCTTATAAAATCGAAATTTGTAGAAAAATTTAACTAAAATTAATTGTTGTGTTAACAGACAGCATTAGAATATAATGCCCATTTTTTTGTAAAAAAGAAATGGCCTTGTGTTGGGTAAACAGATACCAAACAAGTCAAGCCTTAAAAATGTGCACAACTGTGAAATGGCAAAAAAAAATACTGTACTCAAAATTGCCCATAGTCAACACTTTAAAAGCCTTTACTGCTCATCAATTAGCGTTAACAGTGACTGATGACTCACTCCAATGTACACAGCATATATAACATGTGTGGAGCAATTGTCATTTTCGCATGCATGCAAACCCAACCCGTGTTTGTATGTGCATGTACATAGGGATGGAGGGCGTTAAATTATTTTTTATTTACTACATCAGTTAAATTTTTTTTAAACTTAACTTTATACACACAACACATAGGGGGCAAAGACGCCGTTCTCAGGTCAGCATAAGGGACAGCAGTAGAGCTGCAACAGTTATTCGATTAAGTTGATTAAAATCGACTACTTAATAATCGGCTAACTAATCGATTATGAAAATAATCGTTAGCTGCAGCCCTAGACAGCAGAGACCAGGATAGCCGTCAGTTGGGAAGGGGGGTGCGGGGCACCCATTTGAGCATCATACAGGTGATGGGAGGCTCTACAGCCGCCCAATCACTTGCATCTCAAAGCCCAGTGGTGGCTGAACACAACAATACCAAGATCACGGCTGATGCAGCTCCTGGTATAACCACTTTAGGATCACAACATTTATATATGTATTGCAATGCTTTAGTAGTTTAATGTTCTTTTTAGTTTTGAATAGTGTAGACGGGTTAGAGACCCTGTCAGCTTTTCACTGCTATCTATGTCCCCACTGGGTATATTCACACTCTTCATATGTCCTGGTGAACACTGTTGCCGAACAGAGAGTGAAGGGAAATCCAAAATGTTACAGTTGTCACATGAACGGATAAGTGACATTTGCCCAAGAGGAGCACCAGATGTGAATAGGAAGTCTTGAAAACTCCAGCCAGGTGAAGAACAAGGATCTCTTTATTAGTGTACAGTATAAAACATAGCCAACATGATCTCCTATTCTTCAGGGCTTCAATAGAGTCAGATCTGTTGGTCATGAGTAAGGGGATGAGTTGTCAGGGCTGGCCCGATCAGCTGTGGCTGGGGCATTCCCCACCCCACAGCTACATGTAAACAAAGGGGCAGGATGCTGAAGACATCCACATGGCCATATTTGGTCAATGGCATGCATCTATTACAGCCATATAAGGTCAATGATATCACCAGTAACCCACCCCTTTGTTTACTTGAAGCTGTGGACGGGGAATACTGATAAATATTGGTGATTGTGTATTGGTCATACATTTTTTGCTGCATCGATATGTATATATTGATCTTTTTGTACGAATATATTTTCTATTTTTGTATATCTGCATATGTTGCTTTAATCCTGGGTGCTATAAATGAAAGCCCCCTCATTGATTATAGGCAACACACACACACATGTGCTCCAATGTTTTAGCGCACGTACGTGACCAGGGTGAATCTTATGCTGCTCATCCAGCCAGGCTGTCATAAGGCCGATATTATTCTCAAACTGAATCCAGCAGGGAACAACTTTTTCCAGAACAGATTTTGCCTCCAGAGTTGATGACACAAACGTTTCATACTTCAACTCAATTGCTCTGTACTGTTTAGCAATTTCGGGATCATCAGCTATAAAAACAAAAACGCAGTTAGAAGAGGAAATCTTTGTTTACAAAAGAAGAAAGAACCTATGGAGCTTAAAAATTGTTGTTGCCCTACATCTAATCCTCCTTTGTTTGTACTGATTTATGTTACCTACATGGTGCACCAGAGAAAGCCATTTTGGGAAAACATATCAATATAATGTAACATTACTGATTTGTACTCTCAATGAACAAATAATAAAAAGATGGCAAAAGTGTAATTATGCGGCCTCTCTAAATTGCTCTCCCCCAACCAAAAAAAAAAATTACCCAAAGCACACAATCATTTTTAGTTAATATTTTCACATTTCCATGCAAGGGTTAACTGCTTTTTTTGCTCTAGGGAGGAAAATAACAAAGTTATACTTACCTGATCCTCCGAGTTGGCCGATTTTGACAGCACTCTCCCCAGCCTGTCTCCTCCTACGCTGCAGTGATGGCGTCCTCATATCCTATATACAGTGTATAGAACGTGATGACTCTGGGCCCTTCAACCACTGCAGCAGAGGGGGAGAGGGGCTCCAGGGACCAGTCTAAGAGCAGGCCAGCCCTGAAGGTCAGGTGAGTATAACTTTGTTATTTTCCTCCCTGGACAAAAACAAGCACTTGAACCTTGCAGTGCAGGAGTAGCCCTACTGCAAGGGTTAATTAAAAATGTCCTTCGAGTTATTCTTTAAGGCCACTTGTGGTGAAACTTGTAAGAGGGGAGCAGACCTTAAGATGGACTGAGATGTATCTTGCTGGAGTCAATAAAGTTCTTTAGCGTTATGTCATCAGAGCGCGGCTGTTTGGGTTATGGAGTCAGTATGACAGCCAGGAAACTGGCATTTTGAGAAGAGCTCAGCAATCGTATCTTTTAAGACAAGTTTACTTTAGGTCTCTTGCTCTACCCTAAGGCCTTGTTCACACCAAGTGCGGAGCAGGGGCAGAGCAGAGCAGTTACAGACCGGAGCAAAACTGCGTCCAGTGTATTCCAATTGTATTTTTAGCTCCAGTTCACCCCGCAGCGTTCAGTTCCAGAGCATGTAAAAAAAACTGCAGCAAGCCCTATTTTACCTGCTCTGGATCTGCTCTGGAACGCATGCAAACACATCAAAAATGCATGCAAACACCCTGGAACGCACTGAAAGCCCATTTTAAACTACTACAAAAAAAACATTTTTTACCAAAAACGGCCCGGAACGCATCAAAAACGCGGCAAAACCCACTGCAGTGCGTGTGCAGTAACTCATGCAGATCTGCTCTGCATTTGGTGTGAACAAGGCCTAAAACTCATCAGCTCCAAGAATAGCTCACACAGGAAGTTTTTATTATCTGTGTTATTTATTCTGTCAAACTTCTAAATAGGCATAAACATTCATTTTAATAGAAATGTTTAAAACCACTTCCCCACACTATTCAATGTCTTTCGTCTCCTTTGACTGAGATAAATGAACAATGAGGGGGTGACTAGCAGCAGGAAGAAGCTAATTAACATGAATGGTGCTGCCATGTCCATGTAAAGAGCTCTGAAGGTCATGAGATGAAAGTGAAAATCCCTTTAATCTTAGGAGGTAAAATCCTGCCAAATAAAACATGTGACTGAAGTGTCTAAATTATTAAACAGCAAAGCTAATATACTCACAGTATTCCTCTGTGGTCAGAAGCTGGTTATGAAGTTCTTTGAATTTATGAAATGCAGTTTCGAGATGAACCATGGATTGTTTCTCCCCAACAAATTCCTGTGGAGCAGAAATAGAATGAGTTAAGGGTAGTTATCAATGGTGACAGCAATAAAACACTCGCTCAGTCACTCACTCAACTCCTCACTTGACCATTACACTATCCAAAAATCTGTACTAAGTTATAATTATTAGCAATTAAATCTCTAGTAGGGCACATGTATATTTATGTATGGAGTTCTACTGTAAGAACAGGTGTTCCCTTCATAGATAATGCATAGGCGTACCCAACTGATAAAGCTGCTTGTGTCAATATTTGACCCTTGCTTCCGGTATTAGAATCCTTGGTTGAAGAATGGGTTACAACAAACCACAATGAACACACAATGTAACAACCCAAATGACTATGATTTTTAGTGCTATCAGGCAATATCTGGTAATCAAATGGCGAAAATATTGAAAAAGCAATAATGAAGGAATATTTACTGAATTATGTACAGATGGATAGTTTTCAGTTCAGTGTCACAGATATGTTTCCTGCAAAATGAACAGGGAAGAAGATCTTTCCAGAAAGAGGTCTCTGAAAACAGTCAAGTTATTCTGACAACTGTCTTCATGGTGATAACAGAACACCTATTTTGCATTTTTTTTCTGAACATATCAAGAAACTGAGGATGGACAAGTGATACTGCTTTGGGGTCAACACACCATCAGAAAGTAGAACGTTAAGCCTTGTAGACAAAGACTTTAGCTTGTGTAATAACAGTGTGTACGGCAAGCTCTTTTAATTCCAGCCAAAACATTTTACCCAAATTGGATAAAACAGGGAAGGGTAAAGTACATTTGCCAGGCTTGTACTACCGCCTGTGACCTAGTAGGGGAGATTTCACCTCACTTCATGTAAGGAAAGTAAGTGATGGGCAATCTCTCCAAGATAAGTAGAAATGTTCTTGTCGCACTCGTTACCGGAGATCCCATGTAATGGGTAGGGTGCTCGTGAATGACTGTGGATGGCACCGCTGTATGCATAAGATAAATGTGAAAGATGTCACCAGCACACCAAAGATCCTTTTGGAATCACCAAATGCTCATTTTATTGAACAAGTTGTCAGAATGGATACAAGCACTTTCAGGACCTCTCAGGCTTCAGCATTGACCCTGCGAGGTCCCGAAAAGCACTTGTGCTGGTGACATCTTTCACATTAATCTTTCCAAGAGGGACACAGATAATAAAATAAAATACATTTTAGCAAAGTGATGAAGCATGAGAACATCTGACAAAATTTGGATTGCGGTCAATGCATTCCTATACTGATGATTACCACACCCCTTGCTTCCTATATGGGTGTCAAAGAGGCAATAAGTGAAAGAAAATTTCCCTAATGGATATCCCCTCATTTAGAGATTCTAGAGAAGGAAAGAGTTGCCATGAAGTACCCAATCATTTTTTTAATGACTGGGAAAAGCAATTGGTTATCTGAAAATGCTGCAGTGGGATACTTGACGGTTCTTCACGTTTGTCCAACATAATGTAACCACAAACCTCATCTGGGTCTTACTTGTGTTTGCTATTACTTACATCATAATTTGCAAGGAGGGATTCCACTGCCTCTTGTGACCTATATTTCCCTTTCCAGGCTTTTAACTTAGGCCGTCCCTCTTCCAGAAGAGCCAGAACGTAATGTCCAGAGAAGCGATAATCCACCAGAACGCTGAACTTTGCAGTCAATATCTTCTCCATCCTAAAAATCAAGATTACAGATTTTAAGAGATTTGATTGTAGATACTGCATCGTGTGTTTCCATTTCATCAAGTGTGTATGATACCCATTACAACCCATCTAATGGTTGTAGTCATTTCTCTATAGTCACTGGTTGCCAGGAGCTGTGAGGGACACTGGGAAAAGTGTCCTCGGTTGCTAAAAGCTGGGCAGGGGAATGTGCATGGCCCTTACACATCTCCCTGCCCAGCCCTTAGCAACCTGGGGCGCTCTGGCCATAAAGGGGGCAGCAGGCAAACTGTAAACATTGTGCATGGCCACTCTGCCTGCCACCCCCCCACATGACCCTAGATGGCCCTGAAGCCAACCATACATAAGCTGAGTGGGAGAGATCACCCAATTCCCCTATCCATGCTAAACACATGGATGGAAGAATCTATCCTGCCATATATCGTATTCAAAGCAATTGGCTGCAGTCATTGTTCAGCTGACTTTTTTTTGCCCAGCTCCTTCGATTTATAATCAAGCTTTGTCAAGCCGGATGGTTGGCAGGGGCACCAACGTCCCAATTCTGAATATGGACTGGTTGCTTCAAGCCGAACAAACCTTTCCCCTCCAACTATCACGCAAAAGGCGTTACGTCTTACAACTAGGACGGTTATATGTTGAATAGAGAGAATTGTATATGCTTTCTCCCTAACGCTGGCCATACACTATGTGAATTTCAGCTGGTTCTTGATGAACCAGACAAAATAAACACAGTGGTAGCTGCTGTTGTCAAGCATCCCTCAATCAGAAGGGCCACTGTCAGAATACAATGAAAGCAGCGAGGGATTCCTCCATCCACGCTCATAAGCATAGATGGAGGAATCTGTTATATTTTCTTTCTTCAGCCTGCAGGTTGAATGAAGGAAATATACAGTAAGAGTATGGCCAGCTTAACACTCTGTATTTTACATTTGCCACCGTGACTTTTACAGCTACCCGATATTCAATAGGTTTTTATTTGATTAAATAAAGACCAATAAGCAGAGTGTAGGAAGCCATTAATACCAATATGAAATCACGGTCTGATAATATCACAGCACTGATCTATTGAAAGTAATAATTCAGCTGCTAAGACCATGTGCACACAGGCTTTAGCTTATATAAAAGCAGTTTGTGCAGCAAGCTTTTAGAAAGCTTGGAGCAGCTTTATTCAAGCCTTCAAATAACCTTTCAGCTCCAATTTGAAGACGTTAAATATGTGTATACGATTGTAGTGCTGTCTGTCCCTTTAAACAACTGCTAGCATGCTTCGGCACCACCTGAAACCTGTTAAAAGTCTGCTTACAGCTTTTTTAACCCCTTCGTGACTGACGACGTACAGTGTACGTCGCCAGCATCGGGGCTGTTTAAACAGACTCCCGGTGACTTTTGCCGCCGGGACTCTGTTTAAACTTGTAGAGCCGACTGTCGGCTTTACAACAGAAGCGATCCTGGCGACTTACCTGTCGCCAGATCGCTTCTGCGTCCCGAAGAAGGGGCCGCCCCCCCGCCGGACACCTTTGACTTTTTGGGGTACTGCAGTTTTTCGCCGTTTCACGGACGCACGCAATTTGTAACCTATGCATGTTGGGTATCGTTTTACTCGTTGTAACCTCATCTTTTATATGTCATTTAAAAAATTGGTATTTTGTTGTGTTTTGGGGCATTACATTTTTCACTAAATGTTGGGGTTTAATGAGGAGTTGCGCTAATATTGCGCAACATAAAAATTTGCAACTACCACCATTTTATTCTATAGGGTCTTGGCATTCAGAAAATATATAATGTTGGGGGGTTTTAAGTCATTTTCAGGCCTAAAATGTGGAATATAACATGGGTGCAAAAAATGAAAAAAGGGCCTCAGTCATGAAGGGGTTAAAGTGACAGTCAACACTCCCATTAAGATGTCTTTAACATTCCCAAATTTTTGCTAAAGGGTGCTTTAAAGGCAATTAATGAAGGAGGTAATTTGCAAGGTACTGTGTAGACCTGGGGGCAGGCCATAATAAATGGCTGACACTTAATATATCTCACTTTGGCCACATGGGCACCAAGCATCTATGGAAATAAGGTTGGTTTTATCATTAAGCATTGTACACGTGTGCCTATGTACACTCCTTTCTATTATATGTATTCTGTTTTGCTTTTGACTAATTTTTTTATCAGTGTAAGTACATTGTACACCCTTAATGACATTAAACAGCCCCATATAAAGAAAACAGAAAGCTGTGTATTTATGGACATAAAACATTGCTCATACCTTGTCTTCATCTCCTCCATCTTATCTGCTGGCACAAGAATAACTCCATTATCGTCTACGTTCTTAAAGGATCTCAGACTCTCTGAGTGACTGACTGCGTGAATCATCAAAGCCTGGGGAAAGTATGGCAGGTGTCAGTGACACATGTATGTGTAGCTTAAAATGAACTTTCAGCTAAATGGGAGATAAGAGAATATTCTAGACTCCGTAGCATGTAAAGATAACTTCTATACCCAACATACTCAACTAATCCTTTGCCACCACTTGCATCAAAATGAGATGGGGGAAGAGGGGTCAGCGGCATAGACCCCCTAAACCCTTAGGTGACTGACACATTTGGGAAGGCATAACACATCAAGTGCAAGTGTGACAACAGATTGGAAAATCGAGGCTATCGGGTGATTTATATTTTACAGAATCCAGTAACGGCCCTCCAATCCTCAATTCCTGATGAGAGCAGAGGTATTCTTTCTGGCTCATGCACACGGCACTATGAAAATATGGCAAAGCAACAAGCAACAAAGGACACTAGATTGGCTCATGCTGCCTGCATTCTAGCAACGAAAGACACTAGATGGGCTCATGCTGCCTGCATTCTAGCAACGAAGGACACTAGATGGGCTCATGCTGCCTGCATCCTAGCAACGAAGAACACTAGATTGGCTCAAGCTGCCTGCATCCTAGCAACGAAGGACACTAGGTGAAGGAGCTGCAAGCATCCTAGCAACGAAGGACACTAGGTGGCAAGGAGCTGTCTGCATCCTAGCAATGAAGGACACTAGATTGGCTCAAGCTGCCTGCATCCTAGCAACTGTGGATGCTAGGCAGCTCCTGCAAATTAACACAAGCGTTTACATGCACGCAGGGTAAAATATGGTCCACACACACGACTTCGAATGTAGATTTTTCTATTTTTATTTTACTGATCTGAATGCAGCACAAGTTTGCTGACCTTTATGTACTGTGTGCATGGGTCCTTACAAAATAATACACCCGAGATCAGATCTATAAAAACAGAAACACAGTACTGATAAAACTGCAGCATTTTTATGTCCGTGTGCATGGACCTTTAAAGCTAAACTCAAGGCAAATTCTAAATACACAGCTGAAATGCATATGTATGAGCTGCCTTACTTACCAAAGGGTTCTTATTTCAGTCCATCCACTACTGAGATTTACATAGCCCTGCCATAAAGCACAGCATGGCTGGTGACTGGACATTTTCCTATCCCAGTTAAACAAAAAAACTAGGCCAACTCCTTATCCCCACCCTGTAATTGGACTATGAAGGAGTTGCAACAGGCTAATGAAGTAAGACATCTCTCTGCTTTCTCCTCCCATCAACATTCAGAACACTTGATTGGCTCCTAGTCCTGCCCCTCCCCCCATGAGTGCTGCTGAACGGGGAATTACAAGAGGATGATATCAAGTCATAGAGATATGCATGTTAAATACATTTTAAAAAAATTAAATAAACTACATTCACTGTTGTGTTTTACCATTTGTCTAGGGCTTAGTTAATACTGCTTCCAATAAAGAACACTGAATCTGACCGGCTGAAATTAAGCAATACAGACAGTTCCTATTTCATGGGTTGTGAATTAAGCTATTCGGTGTTTACTGCTGGCCGTTCCACAATAAATTTCACAATACACCTGATGCTGTACAGTCACCCCACACACCATACCTTGAAGGAGACGGACAGAGTCTGCAGCAGAGACATTGCGTTGTGGTGGCTTCCTGACTCGGGCAATGTATGTGACATCAGATTTTCGACTTCCGAGAGCCAGCTCTCCATAGTATCCAAAGGGGGTGGCAAACTGTGATCTAGTTGCTCCTTCCACTCTGCAATCTGGACAAAAAATGTACATCAACTGATGGCCACTGCTTTAGAATTTCCCACAACCATTGTTCGGCAACCCATTAATTTTAATAAATCTGTCTGCCATTGCAAAAATAAAAAAAAGGAATTTCACGCCAAGGAATTGAAGAATAAATAAGAAACTCGGTCAGCTTTCAAATCGAATTACTGGCCAAGTTCCCAGACAAAAAACATGGCCACCCACTCACTAAATAGAGTTACAGCCTTGTTTAAACCTCACTTGTTGTTTCTGCATGACTACGCTGACAAAAATTCTATTCTTCATAGCGTAAGGCCTTATTCAGGGCAGTATGAGGTTGTCCACAACAACCAAAAAGGTAACTGGATTCAGTGGAGCTGATTAATGAAAATGGGTGCAAAAGAAAAATGATGGTTGTTCACCACAACAAGCCACCCAACCTGCACAGCGAACACAAAACAAAATCTGAAGGTTTTTCCATATCAATAGGTCAACTTCTCTTTGGCCATCAACAAGTCTCATTGTCTAATAAGGGATCTTTTGCTGGAAACTATGGTCACTGCCCACCATGTAGTTACACTATATGGCCAAAAGTTTGTGGACACTGGACCATCACACCCCTTATATGAGCTTTTGGACATCTTATTCTAAAACCAAAGCCATAATATGGAGTTGGCCTCCTATTACAATCTCCACTCTTCTGTGAAGGCTTCTTGGAGTGTGTTTGTGAGAATATGTGCCCACTCAGCCATTAGAACATTTGTGAGGTCAGATACAACTGTAGGACAAGAAGACCTGGCTCGCAAGCAGCAGCCAATTTATCCCCAGGGTGCTCAGTTGGGTTGAGGTCAGGGCTCTGAACAGGCCCACTCAAGTTGCTCCACACCAAACTGATCAAAACATGCCCTAATGGAGCTGGCTTTGTGCACAGAAAATGGCCTTTAACAAACTATTTCCACAAGGTTGGACGCGCCCACTTGAGTAAAATGTTTTTTGTATTTAATAACATTAACAGCACCCTTCAATGGAAACACAAAAATTCAATAATTTGAATGGGCGGTCACATACTTTTGGCCATACAGATAGGTGTGATGGTCAGGTGTGCACAAACTTTCCACTACATAGTGTTTTTTTTAATATTCATTTTTAAGTTCTCACCTGAAAAGTTATGTTTTCAAGTGACTGCTTAATAAGTCGTTGCTCTTCGAGCTGTAGATTCTCCATAGCCAAATCAGACATGTAAATTCGCTTCTGTTCATTAAACTTCCTCATGAATAGCAGGATTTCCTAATGTATATTGAATATAAAAATAAAAAAAAAATAAAATAATTAGTTTACTTTTTCAGTGGATCCTTAGGATTAATTTCCAGATTAATAAACTTAAAGCCCAACTCCACACATTTTTTTTAGCTTTGCAGACAGAAAGGAAGAGTTAACATCTCTATTAGGCTCTGATTTCTGCCTGTGACCCCAATACGGAGAATTTCCTTTGCATTCTGTCCCTGTGACACAAATACACGAAATAGGGGATGCAGTTGTCTCTGGGACAGGAACATTATCAGAAGATCTAACCCTTTCCTTACTGTACTAAACATGAGTTTTTGGGTCCCCATAGCAGTAATTTATCATTACTGCCTGTTCTATACAGGTTGTACAACAAAATTCCCCCAATAGGTACACTGGCAGCAAAAAAAGAAAATAAAGAAAACCCCAAAAAAGGCTCTAATTTCACTTTGCTCTATTCAAAACTAAATGTTCTGGCTGGAGTTGGGCTTTCACATACAACAAAATATAGAATGTGAAAAGGAGGAGGGCACCAAGGACATACTATCAGTCCAGTAAATCTTTATTGTACACAACAGAAGGTCACAAAAAAAATCCAATGCACTTTGGGAGCTCACCATCCCCTTTCATAGGGGCTTCTGTTTATGATTCAGAATAATAATGTGATATCGAGAATAAAGCATCAACAGAGTTGCTTGGCACTCCAATCACAGCTCCGCACTTAAGCCCCAATGAGGGGACATCATGAGCCCCCGCCCCCCCTCCAAAGCATGTTGGCTTTTCACGTGAACTTCTGATGTGGGCAATAAATATTTACTGGACCCACACTATATCCTTGGTGCTCTCATCCCTCTCACATTTGTCAGGGACCCCTGAGGATACCCTGGCTGACAGACACCCGTCTCTAAAATCTGGATTTGAAGTCTTTCTGGATTTGAAGTCCAGTGCTCTGCTCACCTGTCTATCACTGATATACAACGAAATGGCATCAGTGAGGTTGTGCTTGCCCTATTGCTGAACTGATGTGTGTAAAAGTCAATATGACAGGGGCGTCGTTCAAAGTGAAATCCCTCTTCAGGCCAAATGCATATCTTGCTAGGATCTTTTAGAAAACTTCACTGTAGCTCCTTACAAGTTTCTGCTTTGGAGACACTGAGACAGGTCATTCCACTGACTTCTGCAAATGTAAAGAGAACTAATGCCAAACCTTTTTTTGGCTTTATTCCTCTTTTGGGTCAGAGTACATTTACTAATGTCCTCCTGTGACAAAAAACTCGGCATCTAACGGGCTACTGCTTGCTATATGCTGACAGTGCAGAGCCGCACTGCCAGGAAAGATCCCAGCAATATTGTCGGGATCCACCCTGCTGACTGACTGACAGCTGGCTCTGCCTCTCTAGAGCCAGCAACAGCAGTGCCTGCCCCATTCCGTCTGTCCCTGCAATAAGCACTGGAGGAACAGAGAGGGTAGGGGGAATCCCTATGGGGAACACTGACTGACAGTCACTGTTCTCTGCAGGTAGAAGACCGAGTGATTATAGGTTTGTGAGCTCTCAGTCTATACAGCCCGCGTGTGACAACTGCAGTGTCACACACTGCCTCTAAGTGGGCTATTCACAAAAGGGTGAAGAGTTTGGAGAAGTCAGGAGAAGTGAACAATCTAGGCCAAAATAGCTGATTTGGAAAAATTCTCCAATTCAGCTCACTTTCCAGTTCAGCTATGTTGGCCTAGATTGTTCACTTCTCCTGCCTTCTCCAAACTCTTCACCCTTTTGTGAATAGACCTTTAAGTGTTGGGAAAAGTGCATTTTACTCTCCCAATTCTTCTCCTTTAAGAAAGACTGCCAAGTGAGAGAGTCTGTCTTCTCTAATCACATGACTAATCCCAGCACTAAAAATAGATAACTACTAGGAAAAGCAGTGATCCAAATCACACTAACGAAAAATTAGATTTCTGGAAGCATTCTGTATAAAAAATGGGTATACAGAACTCCATCAGTGGTTGCCAGGACATCAAAAAAGCATTTTTTTAATTTTTTTTGCGTTACAAAATTATATCTAAAATTATAGAAGTTAAAATGGAAAAGGTCATTTTTTAATACCATTAAAGGATAAAAAAATGAATCCTAATTCAGATTCTAACAGCTTCAGAAACACTGATGCTGGAGCTGACCTGGTGCTGACCATATGAGGCCGTCTTAGCTCCACAAACACTTCAAAAGAACACACAGTCACATCTCACATACTATCACACATTATTTAATCAATACAAGTCCATGTTGCAATCTTAGCCTAAGAACAGCCCCCAGTAACGCATTTCACCCATAAGAGCTTAATCATAGAGATCATCTCTACGATTACACCCTTAAGGGTGGTGCTTAGGCGAGGATTGCAACATGGACTTGTGTTAATTAAATAATGGTACCCGAGATAACAATCTTTAACATTGTTTTTAACAAGGTGTTTTCCTTAGGCCTGGTTCACACCTGGGCATTTTACAGTGCATTCCTACGCTCTGTAAAACGCTCAACATGTGAAAACCAATGATTGCCTATGGGCATGGTTCCCACCTGGGCATTTTACAGCGTGTAGGAACACGCTGCAAAACGCCCTATGCCCAAAAAAGTACGGGAGCTTCTTTGGGGCGTATTTGCCACGCGTATCCATTGGGATATAGCCAGGTAGCCCTCGGAAACGCGCGTTTGTCGCACGTTTTATTTACCACGAAATGCGCAACAAACGCGCATATTCGATACACCTAGGTGTGAACCCAGCCTTAAAGTGCTGCTGAAGAGTCTTGTTGGTCTACTGAAATATGTCCACAGAAGAAGACTGAGTGCACTGACAGATATCTGTACCTGATACTTTTTTGTGTATGTCTCCTCTTTCATATCAGAAAAGCGTTTCTTTAAGGTTTGCTCCTCCACGTTCAACCACTCCATGGCTTTTCTGACTCGATCCTGGAAGCAAAAAACACAGATAAAAAATGTTAGATAAGTACCAAAAGGTGAAAAACATTCTAGGAGTGGTCTTGAAAAGTTGGTGCCATGCCTCATCTGCCCAAAAGAATTTCTAAAAGCTTACCAGATCAGCAGACATCTAAGTTCTTATTGTGCAGTAATATATTTTTTCTAATACAAATAGGAGTTCCTGTGAAATAAACTTGGTCAAAAACACTGCAGAATTCTATCACTGGACTGGCTAAAGACAAGCAGATAGAGAGACTCCACACCCACTTGTATAACCAGACTGGCCAGACCAGTCATTCGGTGAGTTTGCTTATAAGCCACATAAAAGGATGAATGTTTTTTTCCCCAAACCTTAAAAAAAATATGCGACTATCAGACTGCTTTGAACTCTTGGGATTATATATGGCCACCCCTAAGACTATTGCAGAAACATTACCTAGAAACAGATAAGTGATGGGAACAAAAGACCAAGTGGTTCACCAAGTCTGTCTTTTTTCTTTTTCTCGCCTATAAACATAGACCTATGTTTATCCCAAGCATGTAATCCAATGACCTAATAGAAAAGGGTTAATACATGCCTTTGTATATAACTGTGCTAATTGTATAGCAAATGTGATATTCGGGTTAAAGGGAAATTCTGAGTTCCTAAAAACATAATAAAATATTTTCTTTTTTAAATAAAAAGAAAAAATGTGCATTTATTATTTTTCTTGCATAGGAGCCAGTAAAGCAGTGCAACGCTCTGGCTTCTTGAGATTCTCCCTCCCGCCAATGTCCATACCTCGGTACGTAACATGAACGTGAAGGGGAGGAAGTATCAATAGACTACAAGTGTTACACCCTGAATATAGGTATAGTATGAAACATGGTCAGAAAGTAGGGATTTTCAGATACCAATGCCGAAACTTGGCATTTTCACAAGAACTACCAGGGTTGCAGCGGTTGCAGCTGGTACCTGGCTCTGGCAGTCCACCACTGTCCTGAAATCATTAGTCTGTATTGTTTTAGAAAAACGGTCACATGACCATAAACAAAAATGTATCAGTACTTGTATCTGTGAGCACTTGAGCAAGTATCAGTACCTGAAAAAATGGTATCGGTGAATCCCTAATATATATTTATTAAAAAAAAAAATCACAAATCCCAGGAGCTCAGTGTGCGCCTTAAAAATGACAGCTGCCTCCTAACTTTTGAATTTTCCTCTAGTCTAGTCTTGGAGCTGGAAAAGTATCTGCACATGTACTAGAACTTGTACCGAGTACAGTACTTGGTATCTGAACATCCCTATCAGAAAGGTCAATTTAGCCTTTACATTTTTTTATTTATAACCTTTTCAAAGCTAATCTCTACGTAGATATTAAAACAATGAATACAGTTATGCATCTATTACAAAACCTTCAATTAATTCAGAATTGCAATTGAATTTGACTTGATTTTAGCCTCCTGAAATTTCCTGTACAGCAGCACTTGGAGAGGAAGACAACAGTAGGAGCTGAACAGACTGTTACATAACAAGTGCTTGCAAGGAGGATACAGATTGGAGAAGAGAACAAAGAGATAAGCTTATCAGTCTGTTGCTTCTCCAACACTATGCAATCACAGGCTGGGGGTGGGGAGATGACCTAGTTGTGTTATTTAACTGCAATAGAGAAAAGCAAGGTCACCAGGCTGGATGGACAGAAATACAAATCCTTTGGCAGGCAACACAGCTCCCATACATGTATTTCAACAGTGTATGTAGCCTTTTGCTTGAGCTTTAAGATCTCCACAACTACACAGGTCAGTTCTGATTTTTCGAACTATACCAGCACTCACTGTTTACTATTTTACTTTCATAAGCACTTTTCACAGCATTATTGTGTATCACTGGGATTGTCAAATCTTGCCCGGTAATATAAGACTTCTGGTGTGATCTTTTTTCTGCTGTCATTTGTATGCCACACCCACACCAGAATTGTCAATGAGGATTAATAGAAAGATGGGATTTTTATTCATTTTGGCTTTAGATACACTTTAAAAGGAAAATTCCACCTTTTAGAAATAAATAATAAATGTATACTTCTTCATAAAAAGAAAAAATGAGCATGTACTATATTTTTGCATAGGAATCAGTAAAGCATTGCAACCGGGATCAATAGATCATGGGTGCAATGCTCTGGTTCCTGCAGACTCTTCCTCACACCCATGTCCAAACCTCGGTATGGACATTATTATTATTATATAGGATTTATGTAGCGCAGCGCTGTACAATATAGGGAAGACATTCTAATTGCAATACAATTCAAGACAAGATGGTAAAGCGGGCCCTTAAAGGCTAAAAACCTAAAAGCGAGGTGCAAGTGATACATGAGGAGGTTGCTGAGTGGGGATGAATTGTTTGAGAAAGAGTTCAGTGGTTAGTTTGAAGTGCGATAGGCTTCTCTAACGAGATGAGTCTTTAGTGATCGCTGAAAGGCAGTCTGAGTGTGAGGTAGACGGACAGGTTGGGGTTAGAAGTTCAAAAGAATGGGAGAGACTAGAGAAGTCCTGGAGGCGAGCATTAATAAAGGAGAGGACTATAAAATATAAAGACCAAAACCCATGGTAAACAGATGACGTACCGTTGAGTCTTTTGTAGGATCTGCTCTGTTCTTTGAGTACTGTAAGAACTGGGCCACGTAGGTCATAATGGATTTTTCATCAGGATCTGATACATTTATATCTGTAAAATAATAAGGATTCATCAAATAAGCTGCAAGAACATTTACCATGCAAGATGCATCCAACACATAAAGCAGAAAATTGTTTTTTTAGTACAGTTATAATGTTGTTAAAGGGAAATTTCAGTTTGTATTTTTTTTTTCAAACAATAGAAAAAGTGCCAAAAGTACAACTTTTTAATATATATGTTAATGAATGAAACTTTAAAATCGATACAAGATAATTAACATGCCACAGGCCCTTTCTTATTATTAGTCTTGAATCTGTTCCCTTTGAGTCCTTCTAAAGTTGTACAGCTCACTTGCAGGGTACAAACTCAGTATTAGTATGCAAGAGACAGCAACATGATAGGAGACTGATTTTACTACCAATTTGAAGTGGAATTTCAGCTGAAACGTTTTTTGGGAGTGGGGAAGAATAAAAACTTTGGTCAGATTTTTACTGCTGTATTGGCAAGATCGCCCCTCACTTCCTGTTTCACAGACTCAATAGGAAGTGAGATGAAATCTAAAAGGAGCGGTAAATTTGACAACTACTATATTTCCCACAAAAGGTAGCTTACCCCTTTCTTCAGGTGACAACTGTTAGATATCCCTTTGCTTTCTGTTTCTGTCAGTGACAGAAACAGGCTTTTATTTTTGTCAGTTGTCCTGTTTGTGACAGAGACACTGTCCTTCCTTCTGGAGGGTGGCTACTTTTGTTCCCCATGGTGCCTGTGTGTGTTGTAAAGTAGCCACTACTCCAAGATCACTCCTGTGATGGACTACAATCTCAATACAAATGAGTAAACTAAACATGAGAAGGAAGGACAGTGTCAGCATGACTTCAGAGATGATTTGAGGATCTACAGCCGAGTGATACACAAATAAGATACATTTTTGTTAATAGGGTAATGGAATGCATTTTTAAGGTTTAACTCCTACGTTTAGTGTCACTTTAAAGACTTCATTGGATAAGCTCACAGTAAACCCTTTTACTTATTTATTTCACATCAAAAAAATATTAGCAGCTTGAGTCCCTGAGCCTTTTTCTCCCTATGCTCCCTTGAGTGACAGAGTTTTTTTTTTTAAGTTTCAGAGAGGTTTTAATTCACACTCACACAGTGAACACAAGTGTCATCCAGATCATCCAACATAATTAATGAGAATCAGAGGATTAATCTGCAGAGGAAATACTTTTTTTTTTTTTTAATATAACTACTTGAGGGCCATAGATGTGGGAGAGTTGCCATAAAAAACTTGAATATTTGAAGGGTGTATCTCTTATACCCTGATCCACTCCCACCACCATTGCTATCATCAATTCCTGCAACTGCTATTATGGGTACTTCCAGGCAGCAATTGCTACATATTACAAAGCAGTAAAGGATGTCAACATGCAGCCGCTCCTGCGTAAAATGAAAGTGCCAATGAGTAATACAGAGTAACAATGTATTGTTGCATATATTTTTTTTACGTTGTACAAAATTCCATTCCTATGTAGATTATATGGCCTGCATATGACATCCGTTAAAGTGATATTAAAGTTACGCAGATTTTTTTTTTAAATGCATGTAACTAGATAAATCTAACTGCATGAAATGTTTAGTTTGGTCTGCAGATCGTCTCTTTCATTTATATTTTTCACCAGTGCTGTAGATGACCTCTATTCTGAGGGTGGCTCCATTCTCTTGCTGCGTCCTATGGAGCCACTCTCTAGTGTGCACTCCCGTCCTCGAGACTAAAAGCTTTAATGAGACTCTGCCTGACTACAAGCTTTCATAAGACTCTGCCTGACTACAAGCTTTCATAAGACTCTGCCTGTGCACACACGCACAGGCAGCCCAACATCACTAGAAACACCTCCTTAGATGACACATAGTGGCTCCTGTACAGCTCCGTAAGGTAGTTTTTTTTAAAAGAAACTTTATTTAAAATTTTGCAATGTACATATATATACACATGCATCAGTTCTGCTCTAGTCTCGAAATTCAAATGTTGTCAGGTCACTTCCTATGTAAACGCAATGTGGAAGCAATGTGTTTACAGTGCCTAAAACCAGAGCTTTTATGGAGCACTGTTTAGCAGGATTGATTCACCTCCTGGGCTTAAAGTGACACTAAAATCAGGGGTTAAATCTTAAAAATGCATTCAAGTACCTTAACTATGACCAAATATGTATCTTATTTGTGTATCGCTCAGCTGTAGATCCTCAAATCATCTCTGAATTGGTGCCGGCACTGTCCTTCCTTCTGGATGGTGGTTACTTTTGTTCCCCATGGTCCCTGTGTGTGTTGTAAAGTAGTCACTGCTCCAAGCTCACTCCTGTGATGGACTACAATCTCAGTACAAATTAGTAAACTAAACTTGAGATTGTAGTCCATCACAGGAGTGAGCTTGGAGCAGTGACTACTTTACAACACACAGAGGGACCATGAGGAACAAAAGTAGCCACCCTCCAGAAGGAAGGACAGTGTCAGCACCAATTCAGAGATGATTTGAGGATCTACAGCCGAGTGATACACAAATAAGATACATTGTTTGTCATAGTTAGGGTACTTGAATGCATTCTCCTGATTTAGTGTCCCTTTAACACTTTACTCCAGCTATCAGTGGCAGCCTGCTGCTTTAGGCCCTATGCTGCTCAGGGCCCCAAGTCCCTATGCAGGTTTAAAATGGCGTTGGGATAAACTGACACTGTCCCAGCCCCATTTTACAATGGCACCTGGGTCTTAAGAGGATAAGCAAAGAATAAAACAGCATTGCTATTACTATTATCCTGGAATTATTTTTTTTATTAAATGTCCAATATTTCATTACTATTTACCTTCTGGTTCAAGAAGTCTTGGGATTTTTAACTCTTCTTCTGCAATTCTGAAAGCCTCTCGCAATTTCTCCTCGTTAGATTTGACCCGAAATTTCTCCATATCAACCAGGTCCGGTCTCAAGGAGTGTATGATTGCAAGGAAAGCCTGCCCATTTTTCCAGCTGGATTTAAAATCTGTCACGCTGATAGGTCCCATCCTAAAAAAGTGGAACGGAGAGAATTACAGGATGTACCAGGATAAAATTGATAGTATGTATTATTAATAAACGGTCAGGCATCTCCCCACACACCCAACATTATATTTCTCTCTTGAACAGATAACAGATGGTCTCCCAATCATTGAATGACGCAGTAGAGATCTTGACTGTTGGTACAAGGCTGCTATTCTTTCAGGAGATGAGAACAACTGTCAGAGTTCTTTCAATCAATAAAGAGGAGTGTGGAAAGCCATGGGAGTATCAGTAGATTTTTAGTGGTCTTAGGAACCCTAACAAAATCTAAACTGTGGATAGCTCCAGTGAAAGCCAACAGTCAAGATCTACACTGTGTCCTTCAAAGAACAGAAGCAAAGTTTTATCTGGAATCAGGCTCTAATAGAGCAATGAAGTCATGCACTTAAAACATCATGTCATAATATTCATTCCCTGATCGAACTGCTTCCAGCAACAGGTAAAATCAACTAGTGAACCGCCAAAGTTAACTGCAATAAGTCAGATGATTATCTCCATTTCCTTAGCTACTGTTATGGTTTCATGTAGTCATCTTCTATATCACAAGCATGTAGAATACAATGTACTGACCTTAGCCATGCTTTATAGTTTAGAGAATAGGCAGTAACAGACACCAAAAATTATTTACTATACCGCAAGTGAATGCATAATGATACAGAAGCATCAGCACCAAAGCATTTGTATGTAGTTTTATTCAAGGAAACCTCTGCACAATTCTCTGTTTATGTGCCTTCATGGGCCCTTTCCTTCCACAATTGCCATTAACGTTTTAATTTCTCTCACATGTTAAATTCTATTTATAAACACTTGAAACAAGAGTTCCTTTTATGGCCTGTTAATTGTTATTGTCCATCTAGCTGTGCTTAAAAGTATATGTCCAGTCAAAACTTTTTTACTTAGTTTCGAATAGGGTGGGGAAGAGATAGAACTCCTGTCAAGATTTCACTCCTATCTGGAGCCCTGTTGCAAACATTTACACTCACTTCGTTTCATGCTGACCATGTTTTAACAGACAAGAAGTGAAGTTAACTCTTTCAAAACAACACTGAAAAAATATTTTTCTTATATAGCAGAGCAGGGGGAAGGCTAACACCACAGTCAGGTTTTTACTTCTGTCTGTGTCGGTTAAAGATTTTCCCTCACTTCCTGTCTAGTGAAGCCATTGTCAGCAGGACAGAAGTGAGGGGAAAAACCCACTGCATCCAAAACTAGAAAAAAGGTTTTGGTTTAACATACACTTTAAAAGACTATTTTCGTTCACTAAGAAACCTTCTTTTTTTACCCCATCCAAGTCACCAGAAACCATTTTGGTAGCACTTATGGCATCTTCTCCTTCAATCGGAGCCAGGAAGAAGGAAGCCATTATCCCTTCCAACCCCTTTCTCCCCAGGAGATGTGCACAACATGGACAGCAATAGCTGGCAATAGGGAGCAGAGTTTTAAGCAGTAACAATGCTTATGTGTTTGATGGCGCAGCAAATCAACAGCCAATTACAATGGCGGTTCAGATGACAATTTCCGGGACAGTCAATCAAAGAACTGACTAACTGTGGTGCTATGAACATATATTTGCGGTAGGGATGCACCGATACTGGATCTTCAGTATCGAGTACGAGTACCGATACTTTTTTTCCGGTACTCGTCGATACCAAAAGTCCCATTAAGGAAGCCAGGCAACATCTAATGACTCAGCGCCCCGGCTTCCTGATACTGGAAGTTCTAGTAGCGGGATAGGCATCGTGAGCATATGGGCGAGTTCTCGTACTCACCCAAATACTCGGTATCGGTGTATCCTGAATTTGTGGCCAGTGGACGTCCAGACAGAAGACAACACAGATTCAGAATCCCAAGCATTTCATGTATTTGGATACATTGAGAAAATACTGCTTCACAATACAAGCCTTGGCATGCCAAGCTAATGCTTAGGCGCATACTTTTCCAAAGGAATAAAAACTATAAGGGGGAGCTAATGAACACATGATGCAGAGATGGCACTTTAGAAACACTTGTTCATATTCCATACATACCGTGCACACTGCTCCTGAGCCCACTGTAACAGAACTTTCTTTGCGGATATCTTCCATCTAGATTTAGCGCTCCTTTTCGGGGATGGGCTTGCAGTTGGTGAAACTTCTTTCTTACTGTCACACTTAACTGGTTGCAGGTCATCAGGAGCAGCTAAAATGCTTGCCAGACCTTCAATCTATTATAATGTCATAATAAACAAATACAAAGGGTCAAATACTATATACAAAAGGAAGGTAATGGCAAATAATGTTTTAATGTAGCCAAAAAAACTTTTTTTCATATGCAAGTTATCTCATGACAAAATGTAAAACCTGCTTTACAACCACTTACATGGAAATGTAAAATGATTTGCCAAATGAGGCCAAGCACAATGGAAGGTTTCCCACTAATGATGTCCTCAACATGAATATTTATGAGCTTGATCTACAATGAAAATATGCATTGGTTAGTCCGGGGTGAATTTCTAAGGAGGAAAGTCAAAAACGAATTGTTCCAGCGTAAACAAAGGGAATACTCACTGATTGCTTTCCTAAAAAGGTCAGAGCCGATTCGATATTACTTCTTGACTGGAAGATGTTTTTGACTTTTTCACGTGGCTGTTAAAAAAAAGGAAAGAGCTATTCATTAAATCAGAAATCTAAAAGCTCAATTGAAATTTCACACCTTCTAATTTCTATCTAGCCCTGAACCCAAAATGTTATGAATGTTATGATTGACTTTTTCCCAGACATGACTTAGGCCTTGTTCACACCAAATGCAGACCAGATCCGGTCAGGTTTCTGCACACGCAGTGTAGTGGGTTGTGCCGCGTTTTAGACACGTTTTGGATGCGTTTAGGGACGGTTTTGGTAAGAAATTTTTTTTTTTTTAAAGTTTAACATGGGCTTTCAGGCACTTGCATGCATTTTTTATGCGTTTTTGATGCGTTCCAGACCAGATCCAGAGCAGGTAAAATAGGGCTTGCCGCATTTTTTTCATCCGGTCTGGATCTGGTCTGGATCCGCACGCTGCGATGTGAACTGGAGGTCAAAATAGCATAAGAATACATTGGACGCAGTTTTGATCCGGTCTGCTAAGGTCCTCATCTCCCATGCATACATACATACATACATACATACATACATACATACAAGGGCCAATTAAGACAGGAGCCAAATAACCTACCAGCATGTCTTTGGAGTGTGGGAGGAAAGCCGAGTACCAGGAGGATAGGCATTAAATGTCTGTCAATACGGACTTTTTTGGGGACATTTTAATGATTTAATGTTTATAAAGCATTTGCAGCAATCACCAGCTGAGGCTCATCAGGGTATACAGAAATTGATCAAGCAAGAAAACCTTGTCCAACTGCTAATAAGAAGGAGTTTTAGGAGGATGTGGCACTCCTGCCACATCCAGTTCAAGATGTGACTGTTCTAGTTCAGGATGCTGCAGGAAGATTTGGCTGCCTGATGGCAATCAGATAATGCCTCAATGTCCAACCACCCTCTGTGGTCAATGGCTACCCAAAGTCTAAATGCAGGCCTCCTTAGGTAATCTGGCTTGCCTAATAGCAACTCATCAGATTGAAGGACTGCAATGAAAAAAAAGACACATTCGGAACAACATTTTGAATCTGATTGGTTGCAAAGAGGCAACACAGACTGGTTTAAGCTTGCCATACACTTAGATTTCTTTTGTTCGGACTGCAGACTGGACAAAAGAAATCAAAACAGATTCTGCCATCCATGTCAAACAACGTGAATGGACATATCTCTCCTGCGGGGCTATTTTATTCTAATAAATTCTATACCTAATAGGCTGTAATCACTGTTCAGCCCACAATTTTCCACCTGGCCACTTAAACCAAATCGACTGAATAATTGATTTGTCAAGCCGGGTGGTGCCAGCAGGGCCACAAACAACTCAAATTACAGACAAGCCAGCAGAACTCAACAGAAATTAAAGCAGTGTCTGCTATAAACCTATACATCCTTTGGACATTCCCATAATGCCAGCAATTTCTTATTTCAGTATTAGGAAAACTGTGGATTACCAAGACTTCGCCAGACAAAGCTTCAAGTAAGTCCAAGAGGACGTGCCCATCTTGCATATCAGCATACAGATCTTTTACAACTGATTCCTTTTGATGCTGCAAAACAAGACAATATTGATTTGGAATTAATCTCAAGGCAGCAAATAATAACTAATATCATGACAGCATTACTGTGACCAAACCAATGGTAAATAATCTTGCAGGACAAGTAGAAAGGAATTAAATGGGTCTTAGAAGTCCTTATAACTTAATTTACAAGCTAAAAATAAAACAAAAGTGTCCATGTGTGTGAGGTTAAAGAAATATGATCAGGGGCTTCGATTATTCCTAGAGCTGTACTCCACTGGATGGCTGGGGGCAAGAGCACAGACCATCCATACAAATGAATTGACCTGGCCAGGACATTTTTTTTTTCAGCTGGATGGCACTGAGTAGGGCCACACACTGAAGATTTTAGGTGCAGACATAAAGGTAAGTATTTTTGGTATAAGGGCTTCACTGACAGGAGTGGAGGGTATAAATGTGTCTCAGGCCCAAAAAAAAAAACATATGCAATAAATCTCTGGAATACATGCAAATTTTCCCACATTATGTCCCTTTATAGACCCTGCAAGTACAGAAAAATACCAGTTGATCTCTCAAAAATGCATCCTGTTGTGGGCCGATAACGCAGAGATTTTGTGGGCTGAATAGTGTCAGCCCGGCCAGTTTTTTTCTCTTGGCACCTACTCTCCTATCTCCACAACATAAAGGATAATCATTTTGTAGACCCATGATAAGAACCAGGGGGGAACTAATTCCTCTCTTTTAGATAACACTAAACAACTCTGGATTTCTGATATGATCTGCAGGTTGAACAGATAAATCTAAACCCTTCAAAATGGTATACCTAACAGACTAAAAGAAAGCAAATAACTTCACAGTTAGGGTCTAAATACACTATAAATGAAAATTTCACTTAATGTGATGTTGTCCAAGGAGGGAGAACTATTTCCTCTCCTTTAGATAAAACTAAACAACTCTGGATTTCTGATATGATCAACAGGTAAGACAGATATAACTAAACACTTCAAATTGTACATTTAACAGACTAAAACAAAGCAAATACGTTCATACTTGAGGTCCACATACAGTATAAATGACAACTTTACTTAATGTGAAGTTGTCCATTATGCTAAGCTCTATATGTGGATATTTTTTTTAAATCATGAGGATGTCACAAAATGTTTTCTGTGCGATATAGAGTAAATTATTGTTACCTTTAGTAATTGTGAATTAATCCAGTTGGAGAAGGTTCTCTTCTGGGTACCCTCCTGCTCAGCTGTAACACAAGATAAAATAAAAATGAAAAGGTCAGTCATTTGGAAATCATTTTACTGTAGAACCCACCTAAACAAAAGTGTGCTCTAAGTTTTTTAAAGACAGGTCTCTTTACATATCTAAACGTAATAGATGAACAAATTGCGGCTGATCACATGCCATCTCATACTAGAAACTTTCTAGCAGTTACAATCACAAAATTATTTCCTCCTTATGATTTGCAATTAGCTACAATTCTTGTCCATGGAGGGAAAACAAATTGCCATTATTTCACCAGTATTAAAACTGTATATTATGACAGTTCCCTCCCTATCCCTAGATCACGACCACAGCCCCCTTCCCCAGAAGCCAACAACGTCCTGTCCCTCTGACCCTTGTTACTGGAATAGGAAGTGAAAGGAAAATCTCCCCAATGGTGCATGGACTCCAATTAAAAACCTGGGAGGTTCCACCCCCTTCCCCCCATCTACCCAAGACAAAAAGCAAAAGGTTTGTCTGGGTTTTACAATGTATGTAAAGTCAAACCTTTTCTTGCTTTTGGATAGGGTGCTGAAGGTTTAGGACCCCGACAGATTTTTATTGCCGTTTCCTAGCTGGGAAGATTCACCCTCTGTATTGGTCCTGGTGACCACTGTGTCCAGCATAAAAACTGATGGAAAATCTAAAAATCTTAGGCTGCCGGGAACAAGAGGAGAGGAGAAATCTTCCATTGGGTAAACATTCTGGTGACAACTGTGTAAAAGAGGCTATTCCCTCGCTTTGGAGGGATCTCTTAACTGCTGCTATGTCTCTGGGACAGGCAGTGATGGGAAAATTCCCTGATGAAATACAACGCCTAAAATGTACAATGAAAAACTGACAAGAGTCTTAAAGCTGAACACCAGACAAACCTTCATTAATATATATTGTTCAATAGCCACAATGGGTATAATTTCTCTTTGTGTGCACCAAAAGACATTACACACCCAGTTATTAGCTTGGAAAAAAATAGAAGTGACATAATCACTGTGCTGCACATAGCCTGTGTAGTGTGCAGAGCTGTAAGACGGACGCAGAAGGTCCCACCCATTACAGACTGCCTGCAGAAAACTACAGGAGGGGGCGGAGACAAGACCAGTCACCCTGCACAAGGAAAGAGAGCAGTGACTGTTCTTTATTACAGAAAGCTTCTTTCTGGATTACTGCACAGATCTAGAAGAAATACAGACAGCACACCAAGATTTAAGTAAGAATACACATGGTTCTTGTATTTAGACAATATTTATTTATCCTGGAGTTAAGCTTTAACCATTTCCTAATCTATCCAAGTGTTTTCTGGTTTAGCTTTATATACACTTATCACAAAGTTTACATCAGCTGCAATTGAAATAGTTTACATTTCAATTACCCAATTTGTAAATGTAATCATAACAATATCATCATAACCATAATAAATAAGAGTTCATTCCTAACGCTATTTATCCAGATAGCAACATTTTCCTCTCTTAGAAAGTTGAGAAAAGTCTACTGGCGTAGAGAGAATTACCCTAAAACTCTGGGGATTATGGGAGAGCCATAGAGCTCCAGACATCATCATTATTATTACAGATCACATTGCTTCAAAAGATTTTTTTTTTTAAGTGTTTTCTTAAAACCTCCCACAAAATCATAACAACCACATAAATATTAGAAGCCAGGAACTGCATATCTGCACATTTATTACCTTGTCATGCATCTACTGTCTCTTTAAAGCTCACAAAGCCCCATTGTTATTGAATACTCTATGATTCAGAGCAATCCACGATAATCCACAGATATCCTTCTATTCAACGTGTGATCCTTCAAAAGATCTTCATGGTTAGGAAGGTGGGCACCCACAACAATAAGGTCTCTGTACTCCGTCTGACTCTCACACAACATCTGGCACATAGTTTTTTTATAGAAAAGGTATGGAACAACTTAACCTGGCACAGAAATAATGTATTCATGGCCAGAATGTACCACGAGTGGGCAGCAAAATCCAGAGATGAAAGCCAGCAGGGTTTCGTTTTCCCAAAACACATTTATATCTGGGACTATCTTGATAGCGATACAACTTTAGAAACCCATGCTACTGAATTTCTGTATCTTCCTATTCTATGTAGCACTCAATTCTCGTATATGGGTATCTATGGGTGTCCATCCCCATCCATACCTCCCTACCCATATCCATGTATTGATCCATCTACCTATATATCCGTATCTATCCATATGGGCAATGGGTAGCACAGTGGCGTAGTGGTTAGCACTTATGCCTTGCACCACTTGGGGTCCCTGGTTCGAATCCCTGCCAGGTCATGTTTTCCCTGTGCTTATTTGGGTTTTCTTCCGGGTACTCCGGTTTCCTCCCACACAAACATTTAATATATTGCTGCTTACCAGTCCTTAGATGTGGTGTCTGCATTCATTTTCTTTTTAAAAGCACTTTTCCTTTATGTTCACCTGGTAATCCTGCCAGTAACAAACTTCCTGTCGTTAGTGACGACACTCACTCACCATACTGTCTATGGAGGAGCAGTGTTGTCACCCTAGGATAAAATGTGTGTTAGGACGACATATGGGGGAGGTGTTCTGTAGTTCACAGAGGTGAACTGAGTAAGGCTGATAGCTGATACCCCTTAAAGCAGAACTCCAGGCAATAGTATTCTTAACTTTTTTTTTTTTTTTAGCACCTAGACAAAAACAGTGGGGGTAGTCCAACTGCAAGGGTTAAGAACACTTTTGTCCAGAGTTCTGTTTTAACACTAATACATGACATGGGACCTCACTGGATTTTTGGCAGAATCAATAGGTATTCTGTATTCAAACAGATATACCACTGAAAGAGTGTTGCTATATTTAACAGCAGAAGGAAGAAAATTAGATAAGTTCATTGTTATGGTTAACACACCCTTTAAATTAAGCTAATGGAGCCGGATCCATGAAAAGAGAATGCTTTTACTTTCAGTTGATTAGGAAGTCTGGTCATTAAGAGGAAAATGAGCACATTATTACTGCATATGGCAATGTTCAGGGTGGAAATTCTTTAGTGCTTTGTGTTTTCTGCTGCTTCCTCATAGTAAATGACAGATAAGATAAACAAAATCGTCATAAACTTCCCATTTTCTTCCTCAGGACAATACTGTGCAAGAAAAAAACTGGACAATTTCAACTATATTAGATAAGCAAGACGCATGGTTCTGGTTCACAGACACTCAGAGAAAAGCTAAAATATTTAAACACATAATTGGTGAAACAAATCTCCCAACTGTCCCTGATTTGGAGGGACTGTCCCTCTTTTGAAACCAAATTCCTCTGTCCCTCTACCTCCTCAATTGTCCCTATTTATGGTTTGAAGCAGCCCATTTCAACCAGTGTGCCTTTTAGCTTCTTCAGCAGTGCCTTTAAATTTTTCACACAGCATCTTACCTCTGATGTGAAGAGAGCTCCTAATGTGAAAGAGGGAGTCCAATGTAAAAGGAGGGGGCTTCTAAAGTAAAGGGAGGCGCCTGATGTCATGGGGTAGTTTGGTGTTAAAGGGGGGATTCTTATGTGAAAGGGAGGCTCTGGTGTGAAGGGGGCTCCTAATGTGAAACAGGGGGACTCTGGTGTGAAAGGAGGGGGCTGCTAAAGTGAAGAGAGGTCCCTAGTGCAAGAGGGGTTGTAAGGGTGTGAAAGGAGGTGGCCTCCAAAGTGAAAGCTCCTGTTGTAAAGGGATAGTCTGATGTTAACACTTTCGCTGTCATGGTCATTTTTGCACACATGTTATAATACACATTTTAGGCATGCAAATTACTTAAAACCCTCAAACACTAAGTATTTTTTGAAAGCAAAGACCTGTTGAATAAAAACGTGGAAATTGCATATTTTTTTGTTTTACACAATACACAAAAACACAATATAATGCCCATTTTTTGTAAAATATAAATGATGAGGTTGCGACGAGTAAAGAGATACCCAACATGCCCATTTGAAAAATTGAGTGCGTCCGTAAAATGGTGGCAAATTACGGCACCCCAAATTGTCCATAGGCGGCGCTTTAAAAGCCTGTACAGGTCATCAGTTTAGAGATGTCTGTAAATATCGGCCCTAGAATTATTGATCACAAATAATACAATCTCATGGGGGTGGGGGACTTTAACAATTTTTTTTAACTTTTTGTTTTCTACTTTAATTAATGTCTAGCCCCTTATGTGATAACATACTAGGTGGTGACAGGTTCTCTTTAAGGTGATGTTAGTGGTCAATTAGACCCCTAATGTCACGTTTCCACTCCAAAGAAGCTAATGGAGCACAGATTGCGCTCCAATAGCTTATTGCTCAGCTTCTGCAGCTGAGCAATGACAGCTGAGGGACCACAATTGATGCAATCAGCATCACTTCCGGTCCCAAAGAGCGGGGAGAACGGTGAACAGGTGTTCCTTGGTCCTCTTCCCCGCTGACACCCGACATGTCATCCCAGGCCTGAAGGGGGGGGGGCGCAACAGAGCCCGAGAAGCAAGGCGGGGGTGTCAGGCGGGGGCACACTTCACCGGCCTGTAGAAGTGATCTGACAGCAGCTCAGCCACCAGAAATGGCTTCCAGTGTAAAGCCAACACTTGGCATTAAACATGTAAACAGAGTCGGAAAGCCGGCTCCATGTTCCCTGGCTACATTGCCGGGCAGAGGAAATCTCCCTTTGACCGGAAGTTCCGGTATCGGGGGTAAGCGTCAGAGCATTTGGGCGAGTACTCGCCCAAATGCTTGGTATCGGCACAGATACCGATACTAGTATCGGTATTGGTGTATTCCTATATATGATATACGAGACTTCTAATTCCCCATTATAAATTGTTGAATTGATTGGTGGAATCAGATTTCTTGCTAGGAGTAAAAGAACCACAATTGTCTCTTTTCTTTTCTACTTGCGTGCCAAGGATCAGTAACCCTAAAACACAAGATCTTACCAGGCATTCACAGTAAACACGCTGAAATATATTACCGCAACAAATAAAAGGATGCTAT